CAAGCAGAGGCAAAATCAGGGGCCTGGACTTTGTCTATTTCATGAAGCTCTTACAAGAAGCGCTAGACCCAGATACTTATTCTGTAATTACAGTCTGGCCACCTCCTGCAAGTCCCCAGTGCTGGGTTTCTCCGAGCTGAGAACTCGTTAACAGACAACATAAATTAAGCTAGTATAAAATATCTACTTTGTGCAAAGACAGATGCGCGCACACACACACACACACACACACACACACACACACACACACAGGGCTGTCACGTGTCAACCACCAGAGACCACTAATCAACAACTGAAAATTACCAAGCAGTAATAAAAAAAAATCAACCCCATGATAATTGGGCAGATAAAGGGCTCCTCCTGGGCTTGGTCTCCAGGAAGAAAAGCAGCCCTCTGGAACACAAAGCCAGGAACAATGACAACACAATCGCTAAGCACATCAAACAATGCCCACGCCATGTCACGCTGCTGACAGAAAGGGTTGGCATGGGTGGCGCACTAAAGCTGGAGCAGGAGTCATGCTCAGATCTCCATGTTGTTAGCTTATCTCATTCTCTCAACAGCTTGAGACAGACAGTTCGCTATGCTCTCTCCCTAACAAACGCGGCAGGAGAAGGACAGAAGCCATTTCACCCTGACAAAGGGGCCCCACGCTGGGTTTCTGTCTGCTAAGGTTTAGCATCTTGGGAGGTGGGCTCAGTCAGTAAAGGGATTGCTGGACCTGGGTTCAACCACCAGCATGCACGTAAAAAGTGCGGCACGGTGGTAAATTTTGTAACCTAGCCCTGGGGTGGTGGAGAAACACAGAACAGCTAAGCCTAAAAACAAGGTGGACTGCCCCTGAGGCACAGCACCTGAGGGTGACCTCTGGCCTACAAATATTCTCATATATGCATAGGCACAGGCCTGTGTGCAGGCACACATACATGCATGAACAGATAGACAGAACGCACATATACAAAAGAAGATTAGTGTCTGCGATCCCAATGAAATTATGGATAGTTCCCTGGACACTCAGAACTCAAGCTGTCACCCACTCATGTTGCCCTACTGAAGGTCTCTAGGCCTCTGTTCTATCAAGGTGACCAATGAACAAGATATTTGCAAGGCCCTCTCCAGATTAAGCATCCTCAAGCTTAGAAATTCCAAAATGCCCTTACATCCTCTCAAAGACAAGCAGGGACCATAGGAGGCACTTCTCTGCTTAGCCTGCTTGCCAGGGGAACTTTGTACATTACAGGCTCTTCACTGTTTTTCCAACTTCCAGTTTCTTTGTTAAAAAAAAAAAAAGTACCCAAGATATCCCTTTGAGGGATTCCCATTCTCAGCCCAATTGCCCTGCTGTGACCACACTAGGAAGGGGGCTACTTAATTCCTTGCCTTTATAAGGTGCAGGCCTATTGTCAGAGCTCAGTGTATACAAAAATGACCTTCTTTTGCTATTATTGTCAAGGCACAGCCCAGTCCTTTTCGCTGCCACCTCCGTTTTTATTTCCAAGTCTACAAGTCTAGAGGGGGAAAGAAGGCTTTCAACTAAATCAAAACGAAAGAGGTTTAGGAAATGTGGCTACAGGGAAGCACTTGTTTTCATCGGAACCTCAAACTATTCACGTCAACCCCAAAGAGATGGAGAAGTGACCAACTGGCTAATTTTATCAGTACCAAGCACATGAGTCTTAAATTAGTTCAGAAATGTTCTTAAGCATATACTGACGGAGCGGCATCTGCCCCCCTCTCCCCAGAATGTCACTCTAGTTTTATAAGGACGACAATCATATGAGAAGCAGAAGTGACATGATGTCATCGGCTTCATAAAAGGACTTTCTTTGGCCTCCTTTCTGTTGTCAAACCAAATAATTGTTCTATTAAAAAAAAAAAAAGCTGGGTGTGACAGGTTCCTTGACGCACTAAAAACCTCCACTCTGCCATTTAAAATCATCCATCCTCTTCATTGGAAGCTGGACGAAGACTGCGCTCATTGCTTGGTTGGATTCAGACCTGAGCAAACAAGGCAGCCCTGCCTGGGTGCTCACCAAATACCAAATGCGGATGTGCGTGGGGTGGGGGGGGTGCATGCAAGTGTGTGTGTAATGTACATGTAAACATGTTCTTGTGGGACAGTGTACATGTGTATGCAGATGTGCACACGTATGTCAGCTCATGTGTATGGAGGCTAGAGGTCAGTCTCTACAGTGTCATTCCTCAGAAGCCATCCCCGTTGTTCTTCTGAGACAGCTTCTCATTGACCTGTAGCCTTGATGTGGGAGTGTCATATATCAATCTGTTGATTTCATTGGTTAAGTTATAATAAACCAACTGCTTGGCCTCAGCTTGGAACATAGATGGGAGGAGTAAACAGAATAGAATTCTGGGCGGAAGAGGAAGTGAGGTCAGACTCTGCTCTGCT